ATTGAGCATCTAATTTGAGTAGCTCTTCCAAGATGGTCTAATTTTTCCCCTCACAGATTGTAAAACAAAAGAGAAAATAAAAAGTATATGTTTTTATTTCAGATGCTTTAAAATTTGTTTCTGACACAGAGTGAGGGAGGAGGAGCCTCAACGGATTTACCATCCAAGGGAGATTTTGCTACATTCACCTCCCAATAATACATTGAATATTGTAATTTTTATTATCACATGCAATGTAAATATGCGGGGCCTCCAGCCTCCATAATTAAAGGGAACTTCTCAAGGCCACAGAAGATTATTTCACATTCATCCTGCTCAGCTGCAGGCTCTGGGTCAGTTTGGATCCGAAAGGAGAGGAAATTTTGAGCACTGACCCCTTGACTGTGCCAGTGCACAACCACTACCAAGAGCAAGGAGGGGAAGGTTGGCATGACTGCTCCCATGGAGTTAGTGTAGTAATTATGCAGGAATTGAGTGAAGTAAGAGGAAAACAGCAATTGTCTGTAGCAAAACTGCCAGTGGCCCTGCAGATCACGGGACTGGCACTTTTCTTCCTCATGTGCTCAATTAACGAGCTCAAGAAATGAGTTCCAGCTCTGGAGTTTCTGTGTCAGGGAATCTCCCCAAGAGGGACGTGCAGAGAGCAGGATTGGTTTCAGAGGTGGCATTACATGGGCTCAAAGATAATCCACAGGCTTTGAGGAGAACATGTGAAATGGTGTCACAAAAGCTTTCCCACAACTTGACATAAAGGACAGGGAGCTCAACAGCTGCTGCTCTGAAGGGAGAGAAGGAGCCCATTCAGAGCAGCACAATGGGGCTGGAAGGGCAGAGCCTGCAGGAGCTCCTTTAAACCTTACCTGGGCCTGCAGGAATGAGCTGCAGAGGGAGAGGATGTGCCCGTGTGCTCGGGGTGTGTGCTCACACTGCCAGACACGAGTGACCACACGTGTAGTGATGTACACATGAACACACATGTATTAATGGCAACACAAGCAGCATTTACTGCTGCAGGAAGAGCTCCCCAAACATCAGCCCTGACATTACTTGGCAGATGAATTGCTGGCAGATTTGGTTCAAGTTTTCCAACGGGAATCCCCAGTTCTGTTTATCAGGCACAAACAGTGACACTGTCAGCTCTTCCCACTGCAGACACCTCCTGAGCACCTCTGTGTGGAAACTGGCCCTGTGGAGAATAATGAGGAACCAGGAATTCGATTTCTCATAAGTTTGTGGGGATATAAATTTCTTCTGCAGCCAATCTTCCTTAGTGCATAGACTAAAAGAAAATAATTAGAGTAAAATGTGTTTTGTGGAGGAAGTGAGAAGCAGCACACGAGACTGAGCTGATCCCCAAACATCCTAAGACCCTTCTCCACATGTATTTATCTTACAGGTATATGGAAACAGAAACATAAAGTGCTTGTAACATCTTTAGAGTTTTCTAAAGGGCTGCATGAACAAAGACGAAACCAGAAAATGTTTTCAGTAACTGTGTGTACTTAAAATGAAATGTATTTATTTGCAGTACGCCAAAGCAGAAAAGCTGTTTTCTGTTTCCCATGGGCAAAGCTGGTGCCTGAGTCACCTGTGGGAGAACCATTCCTTTGGCTCACTGAGGAAACCAGGTGAGTGGATTTGAGGGATTTCTGCTCCTTCTCTCAGAGAGCTGGGAGCTGCTCATGTGTGTGTGTGCCTTGTCCCTGCTCCATGTGCCATATCCCTGCTCCATGTGCCATATCCCTGCTCCATGTGCCATGGCCCTGCTCCATGTGCCATGGCCCTGCTCCATGTGCCTTGTCCCTGCTCCATGTGCCATATCCCTGCTCCATGTGCCATATCCCTGCTCCATGTGCCATGGCCCTGCTCCATGTGCCTTGTCCCTGCTCCATGTGCCTTGTCCCTGCTCCATGTGCCATATCCCTGCTCCATGTGCCATATCCCTGCTCCATGTGCCATGGCCCTGCTCCATGTGCCTTGGCCCTGCTCCATGTGCCATATCCCTGCTCCATGTGCCATGGCCCTGCTCCAGTGTGTGCCTCGGTGCATTCCCAGGAGCAGTGCAGCCTTCCCGCCATCAGCAGCTGACCTCCTCCTCCTCCTCCTCCTCCTTCCTCCTGCCTGTGAACCCCCGGCCGCCCCTGGAATGCTATTGATCCATGGCATTAGTCAGCAGCCTTTCCCATTGAAGGGCAGCTCTTTCCCAGCTCCTGACACGTAACTCTGATCCCAGGCTTTCACGTAGCACACACTCCCCACCTGCTCATCTGGGAGAAGGTCATTATCCGCAGGCTATTCAGTGCCACTGGAGCATGCAAGAATAGCTGCTTCTCCCATTGTGCTTCCCCCCTCCCGGATTGGCTGCCGACTGTGGGAAACGCCACGGAGCCGCAGACCCACACACTCGCCCTGAGCTTGGGCAGTATAAATACCAGGCAGAGGCAGCTTCCAGCAGCACGTTTCTCCTGGAATCCACTCAGAGAGAGCTCCCTTCCCTTCTCAGGACAGATGGCTCCCAGCACCGTTTTCTTGGAGCCCGACAATCTGCTGACACCAAAGGAGAAAAACAAAGTAAGTCCCAGCACAGCCTGGGAATGCTCTCGGAGCATTGACACCAGCTGAGAACCTGCCCCACACGGCTTAGGAGCAGGGATGGGCACCAAACAACCCTGAGGGGTGACAGACAGAGGATCCTTTAATAACAGGTGTCTTTTCCTTTGCTTTTTACAGCTGAGGAAGCCGGTGGTGGAGAAAATGCGCCGGGACCGGATTAACAGCAGCATCGAGCAGCTGAAACTGCTCCTGGAGAAGGAGTTCCAGAGGCACCAGCCCAACTCCAAGCTGGAGAAAGCCGACATCCTGGAGATGACTGTCAGCTACCTGAAGCAGCAGAGCCAGCTGCAGATGAAGAGTGAGTACTGAATTTTGTTTCGTTCTCCATCTTACTGCAAATCTGTGACAGTTGTATTAATCCTGAGACACGAACAACTGCTTAAACTATTCTTTCTTCCCTCTCCCTCTCTTCCCTTCTCTAGCTGCAGGATCCTTCCATAAAAGCTCCCAGTTTGACTTCAGAGAGGGCTATTCCAGGTGCTTGCAAGAAGCTTTCCACTTCCTCTCTCTCCATAAAGTCCGAACTGAAACCCAGACCAAACTTTTAAGCCATTTCCAGAAGAGCCAGTCGGCTGCTCCGGAGCTCTCCTGCTGCCCTGGGAACACCAGCCCCCTGAAACAAGTGTCTCCAAAGGACACCTGCCCTCTCTGGAGGCCCTGGTAGTCGGGGAGTGCTCTCTGCAGGGACCTGTGACAGTCCAGAGGAAGGATCTGACTGCATCAGATAGTCCAGCTCTGATCCTCTCTACTGTAGGGAATTTTATTTCCCCTGTATTTCATTTATGTGTGAAAGAATGCCATACTTTTGACGTTTTTGGGATCCTTTGGCAAAAGTTGTGGTGTTCTGTTTGGTGTGGAAGCTGTGTAGGCACTGCTGCAGTGCTGCCCAGGCAGGGGCAACATCTTCAGAATGAAGGAGGGTGTTTGTAAATGTTACAGTTGTGATGGACAGCAGTTGCTGTAGGAGATGTTCTCTAATATTCCCTGTAACAACCACCAGCTTTGCTCTGGCTTGACGAGTGACTCGGGTTGGCTCACTCACTCCAGAGGAGAAATTTATTCCCTTTGCTCCATGCAGACTTGGTTAAAGTCCATTTCCCACTGTTTGCTTATCAATTGTGCAGCATCAAAAACGGGTTTGGTTTTAGTTTGGATTTCTCCCCCATGGCCCTTTCACTGTTCTGTATATCCAGTGGGAGGGATGACCAGGAGTTAGGAAACTATGTGGAATATTTCTACTCTTTGATGCTTTTTTCAATTTAGAAAAAGAGTATGTTCCTGCTTTATGTTAAAGAAAAGGTAGTAAGTAACAGGCTTGATTTGTCAATGTTATACATTCTGGGTGTAAGCTATGCTTTTTTAGCATTTTCATTATAATAATGATTTTTATCTGTATTGAGTAGTTGAATTCCTGGTGGATGGTGTTTCTCCCAGTGCTGGGACTGCCCTATGGCTCACGTGCATACTGTGTATGCGTCTCTGTGTGTGTAGAGAGCAATAAAATGCATTTGTGTGCAAGTTGTGTGTGGTTCTGTCCCTCTGAGGGATGTGCAGCTGCTCGCACCCCTGGGAAAGGTTAATGTCAGCCTTCTGAAGAAATGGTTATTTTCATGAAGCTCAAGGAACTCCCATTCGTGTCTACTCTGTATTCTCGTGAGTCCCCCCTCACCCCAAGGGGTGCTCCCAGATTCCCTCAGCTGAGTCCTGCTGAGCATTTCCCTGGTCAGGGCCCCTCCTGCCCACGCAAACCCCTCACCTGAGCAGGAGGGCCTCGCACCTGCCCAGCAGGTCTGCAGGCACCGACCTGCACCCTCCCTCCTTCCACACGAGTTTCTCACGATGAGCCCCCTAAGCTGGGGTTTGAGGGGTTGTTTGCCACGATTTGAGGGGCTCTTTTCGGGGTTTGAGGGGTTGGTTTTCCGGGGTTTGAGGGGTTTGAAGGGTTTGTACCACGACCAGAGGGGTTTGCTCCAGGTTTCGAGGGGTCTGTGGGTCAGGATTTGAGGCGTTTATGGGTCAGGATTTGAGGGGTTGGTTTGCCAGGATTTGAGGGGTTTGTACCACAGCTCGAGGGTTTTGTTCCAGGTTTTAGGGGGGCTGTGTGCCAGGATTTGAGGGGTTTGTTGCAGGTTTTAAGAGGTTTGTGTGCCAGGATTTGAGGGGTTTGCTCCAGGCTTTGAGGGCTGGGTCTGTTTGCCAGCTTTTGAAGTGTTTGTGCCAGGTTTTCAGGGGGTTGGTTTGCCACGATTTGAGGGGCTTGCTGCAGGTTTTGTCGCAATTTGAGGTATTTTACTGACTTTCGGTCCAGCTCCCTCCCTGCGGAACCCGCGATGCCACCGTCATGGGCGGCACGAGGGGGCGGCGGCTTCTCCCCTTCCGCCCGCTTCATGTCGACCTTTCGCTTTCGGTTTCTCCGGGCTGCCTGCGGGGACGGGTCCCGTCCCGCATGGGGCAGCGGCCCCGGGCCCCGGCGGCTGCGGGAGCGGGATCCCGGCCGGGACACCATGAGGCTGGTGAGGGGTCCGGGGACACCATGAGGCTGGTGAGGGGTCCGGGGACACCCTCCGGGAAACCGCCCGCGGGCCGGGGGTGACCCCGGGGGAGCCGCCTCACACCGGCCGGGCGGCCCCGGTTCTCGGGGGGTGACCGGGGATATCCTTGTGTTGCCCCGAGGTCCTCGCCATGGTGCTGATCACGCAGCTGGAGCGCTCGGATGCCGCGGGCTGTGAGCCGGGCGAGTACCCCAATGGCACCGAGTGCTGCCCCATGTGTGCTGCGGGTACGTACCGGGCTGCCTGCCCTGCCTGCCCTGCCTGCTCTCTCTGCTCAGCACCTCGGCTTGGGGTGGCTCCCTCTGCCTCAGGGACCGCAGGCTGACCTACATCAGTGGGCACTGGCCATGACCTGCCCCACCTCTGTGGCCATGGGCACCCACCTCAACGGGCAGTGGCTATGAGGTGACCCACCTCAGTGGACAGTGGTCATGGGGACCCGCCACCGCTGCCGTGCCTGCTGTGCCCTGACAGGAGCCAGGCAACCCATGGCTGTGAGCGTCACCCCAGGGTATCCTCTGCAGCCAGCACTCAGTCCTCACCCAGTGCCGGGCCCTGTCCCTTCCTTGGGAGCCTCCGGAGTGGCCGTAACAATCAATAATCTCTGCTGGGGTGGTTGGTAAAGTCACAGTTTCCAAGGACCTTCATTTTGTGCCCCAGTTTCTGTTTTGGGTTATGTCCTCGCTCTTAGGATATTTCTGAGGTCCTTAATAGTTCGTCTGTAGTATTTAGGTGTGGTTGGGTGCCAGTGTAGGTCCCTGACCACGTGAGCTTTGCTAACGGAGCTGCTTCTTTGGGGATGGTTTATGGTTTTTAGGATGGCGGGTTTTCAAGCACTGCACTGCCAGATCCAGCACAACGTGCATACCTTGTGTGGAGGGGACCTACACAGATCACCCCAATGGTTTAACACGCTGCAGGACATGCAAACTGTGTGATGAAGGTAAGGAGGATGCTCAAGAACCAGTTTAAATGGATTTTTCATGCCTTTCCATGGATACATTCTCCCTTCTCCTTTCTTGCCTCATTTGCTTGACAAATCAGTCAGTGTGAAGAACAGGCTCATGTCATTCTGCAGACATGAGAGTGCTATGAGCTGTGGGATGGAAGGGAAAAACTGACAGGGAGCTTCAGCTGGCACCACTGGAAGTTTGATCTCAGGTAATAGCCTCTCTAGATTATAGTGAGGTGTCTTGGAGTACTGGGAGAAGGTAGGCCTGGAAGAACTTCACTAGGACAGCTAATTTAAAAACATCTGAGCTGGGAGTATTTTGCTTTTGCTGTGCAACATTTATGACATGTAAATGTGAGCCAAGGTGCTGCCTGAGTGAGGAACAGGGCCTCTTTCCACATCCAGAGTTCTGGTGCTCTTCAGCAGTGCCTCAGGACAAGGCTAAATGTTGTCTTTTGCTTTGGGTTGTGTTTCCCCGTGTCAACACCGTGGCTCTGTGTGTGTGGATTTCTCTCAGGGGCCAACCTGGTGACAGCAGCAGCGTGTACCTACACGAAGAACACGGTGTGTGGCTGTCGGCCAGGCCACTTCTGCACCTCCTCTGGGCCTGAAGGCTGTGAGCTGTGCCAGCCCTACACTGTCTGTTTGCCTGGCACTATGGTCAAAGAATGGGGTAAGCCAGCAGGGCATCAGTGCCACCAGCAGCAGAGCTTCCCTAGGGAATGCCTCTGGAGTGTGGTGTGCTGTGGCCAAGAGCACTTTGTGCTTTTTGGTGGTGTGCAAAGGCAGAAGGGTGTGAGCTGCTGCGTGTGGGGAAGGGTCTCTGCAGTAATGGCTGGCTCACTTCCAAAGGCCATGCTGAACTGAACTGTCTTTAGGCAGAGGCTGAGGGGGAAATCCTGGGGGCTTCTTCCTTCTAGGTACAGCCACCAAGGACCACGTGTGTGAAGTCTGTCCTCCTGGCACCACTTCCACAGCCAACATGTCTGTGGCCTGCACACAATGGCCCAAGTAAGCAGTTGTGACTCCTTGTGGGTGAGTGGCTGTTCTCTAACAGCTGGCTCTGCATTTGGGTGTGTTCCAAACAGCAGTGTCCTCCCTGCAGTAAGGCGGTCAGTGTGGAATCCTGTTCCTGTGTCCCACTCTTTACTGGGAACAGCTCAACTCCTCTCTTTATAAACTCCTTACTATGACAGGTTTCAGACTCTGATCTGAACTTGTCAATGCAGAGGAGCCCCTTGGGCAGGTCTAGCAGAGCTGGATTTGCAGCCATGGAGAGCAGCAGCCTCCTGGTACTGGGGTTTCAGCTGGCACATCCCTTAGCTAGAGTAGAAGAGTTTGCTTCTGAGGAGAATCCTTTTGCAGTTAGAGGCATTAAAGCAAAGAGGTAAGAGTCAGGTGTCACCTGGATTAGCCAGCAAGTCAGCAAGAGCCTTGGGAATGGTGCTGGCTGTGGAGGTGTGATGTTAAAACCAGGGCAGCAGTTCCAGAGCAGGGTCTGCTGGCGGGTTGTATCATCACAATTATTTCTTTCCTCACATCAGACTTAAGGAGCAGGACTCTTACCCAGCAATCATAGCAATCATTGTCCTTGTTGTTGTGATTGTGGTGGCTGGTGCAGCTGCTCTCGCATATAATTGGCAGAGGAGGAAAAGGAAAAGTTACGCTCCACGTAAGTACAAAGTCTGACTGTGAAGGGGTAGTTTTGTGCCATTACTCTGAAGAAGGGTCTTGGATGTTCAGCTGAAAACTGAGCAGCCAGTCAGAGGAGGCTGTGAGGCAGCTGCAGTGTGTCTGTGTCACAGTTCACTGGTGTGAGGGGCCTCCCATGGGGCTGTGCCTGTGCCCAGAGTGACCCTCAGTGCTGCCCCCCTGCCTGGCACAGCGTGGGGAGGAAAGGGCATTAATAGGAAGTTGCCCTTCCTGCTTGTTGATGGGACTGTTTGCTTTCCTTTGCAGCGGTGCAGGAGTCCGAGGTGAGTATGTGTCTCCTTGCTTTCTCTTTGGGGGGAATGTGTGGAAGTGTGATTTGAGAGGGGCCCAGCAGTGGCTCTTGACCTTAAGGAATAAGCCCAGGTCTGTGTGGTAGTAGTGGAAGGAACAGGAATTGCTGATAAAAGCTGCTAAAACCTGACTGTTCATATTCTGTGTTTTCCTCTGACATGTCCTAAAGCATGAACAGCGTGGTCAGGCTTTGAGGTCCATGGAGGAGAAAGGGGCTCAAAAAACTGTTCCTGTGCAGGAAGTCGGTTCTGACCCTGAAGAAACCAAACCTGAATCAGAGAGTCTTGTTTCAGCCATAGCAGACAATGGGGATGGTTAAAAACAACCAAGCACAAACCCTTTTTTTCTGAAACTCTGTGAAGCAAAAGTCAGGTTGGAAATGAAAAGGCGAGTTTGCAAGGGTCATGAAATATCCCAGTGGCATCTTGTGCAACATCAAGTCCTGTACAAGCTGAGTGATCAAGGGAATGTCACGAGCGGCTGGAAATCTCTTCCCTTTTCCATCCCCTTCACGGAGCTATGGGCTGTGTGGAATGCCTACAGTTCCCTTTTTCTTCCCCCATGGACAACTGACACTTGGTACATATTAATAATTCTATTATTGGGGAAATATTCTATTCTATTATTGTTGGGGGGGGGAAATGGCTTTTTTTTCCCTTTTAAGCTTGCTTCATACATAACAGAGTTTTCAAAAGCATTTTGTCCACACTTTTGTTTTTTAACTGGGAAAATGAATTGTGCACAGCATGGCGCATCTAAGTTTTAATAAAGAAAGTTAGTATCCTATGTGACCACTGTGTTTTTAAATAAAGTTTTTACTAATGAGAACCCCTTCTCTCCAATACCAACGAATTTGGACTCGTCAAACCCGTCCCAGGGCAAGAAGAGGCGAGCTCAGACCTTCCTGTCACATGAGCAGCAGTTGTCCTTTGTCAGAGGAGCGTGGGCCCACCGAGGAGGGTTTGAATAATCCTGGCAACAGCTGGGTTTCATTGCTGCCTGTGCTTTTGGTAACCCAAACATCTGCTGGGGAACTGAGTGCAACTGGGCGAAGCAGTGGCAGTGCTGGGAGGACAGGAGGAGCTGTGAGCAGTCCCGGTGGGCTGGGACGCTTGGTTTTGGGTCAGGTAGTGCCAGTGAGGCCTCCCTGACATCTTCCTTCAGCCATGGGGTGTTTGCTGCTTAGTCCTGGGTGTGTGTGTGTGTGAGCAGGATTTTGTGGATAGAGTCAAAGGTGGCCCCTGAGGTGGGCTTTGATGGTTTGGTATGCCAGGATTTGAGGGTTTGTTTCATGATTCGAGGGTCTGGGTTTTTGCCAGGATTGGAAGTGTTTGCCAGGTTTGGAGGTGTTACTTTGCTGCAATTTGAGGTATTTTCCTGCCTTTGGGCCTAGGCCCTGCCAAAGCCTTCCCTGCGGTAGCGGGCCAGGAGAGCAGGGAATGGTGTGACCGTTACGGGCCCCCTGAGGGGACTGGAGACCCAGTTGCCCTGCCCTGCCCTTCCTGCAAGTCAGTGCCTTTCTCTTGGGCGTCAGGTGGGGCCAGAGCCCATCCCACCCTGTCCCACATGTGGCAGCAGCCGCGGGCGGCGGGGAGGCCTCTGAGATGGCGGCAGCAGCTTGGGCAGGGCCCCATCTGTCTGGTGAGTGGGGCCATGAGGGAACTGCCTTGGTGACCTGGATGCAGAACCCGGTTCTCGAGGGATAACCTGGTCCTTGTGTTGCCCCGAGGTCCTCACCATGGTGCTGATCACGCAGCTGGAGCACTCGGACACCACGGGCTGTGAGATGGGCGAGTACCCCAATGGCACCGAGTGCTGCCCCACATGTGCTGTGGGTATGTACCGGGGTGTCTGCCCTGCCTGCTCTGCCTGCACTGCCTGCTCTCTCTGCTCACCACCTCAGCATGGGGTGGCTCTTCAGCAGTGCATCAGGACAAGGCTAAATGTTGTCTTTTACTGTGGCTCTGTGTGTGTGTGGATTTCTCTCAGGGGCCAACCTGGTGACAGCAGCAGCGTGTACCTACACGAAGAACACGGTGTGTGGCTGTCGGCCAGGCCACTTCTGCAGCTCCCCTGGGCCTGAAGTCTGTGAGCTGTGCCAGCCCTACACTGTCTGTGTGCCTGGCACTATGGTCAAAGAATGGGGTAAGCCAGCAGGGCATCAGTGCCACCAGCAGCAGAGCTTCCCTAGGGAATGCCTCTGGAGTGTGGTGTGCTGTGGCCAAGAGCACTTTGTGCTTTTTGGTGGTGTGCAAAGGCAGAAGGGTGTGAGCTGCTGTGTGTGGGGAAGGGTCTCTGCAGTAATGGCTGGCTCACTTCCAAAGGCTACACTTTGGAAGCCTAAGGCTGCTCTCCTTCGGCAGAGGCTGAGGGGGAAATCCTGGGGGCTTCTTCCTTCTAGGTACAGCCACCAAGGACCATGTGTGTGAAGTCTGTCCTCCTGGCACCTTCTCTTCAGCCAACATGTCTGTGGCCTGCACACAATGGCCCAGGTAAGCAGCTGTGACTCCTTGTGAGTGAGTGGCTTTTCTCTAACAGCTGGCTCTGCATTTGGGTGTGTTCCAAACAGCAGTGTCCTCCCTGCAGTAAGGTGGCCAGTGTGGAACCCTGTTCCTGTGTCCCACTCTTTACTGGGAACAGCTCAATTCCTCTCTTTATAAACTCCTTACCATGACAGGTTTCAGGCTCTGATCTGAACTTGTCAGTGCAGAGGAGCCCCTTGGGCAGGTCTAGCAGAGCTGGATCTGCAGCCATGGAGAGCAGCAGCCTCCTGGTACTGGGGTTTCAGCTGGCACATCCCTTAGCTAGAGAAGAAGAGTTTGCTTCTGAGGAGAATCCTTTTGCAGTCAGAGGCATTTGAAGCAGAGGTAAGAGTCAGGTGCCACCTGGATTAGCCAGCAAGTCAACAAGAGCCTTGGGAATGGTGCTGGCTGTTCAGGTGTGATGTTAAAACCAGGGGAGCAGTTCCAGAGCAGGGTCTGCTGGCAGGTTGTAGTATCAAATTATTTCTTTTCTCACATCAGACTTAAGGAGCAGGACCCTTCCCCAGCTCTACCTGAGCCAGCAGTCATAGCAATCCTCGTCTCTGTCGTGATCGTGGTGGCTGTTGTTGCTGCCATCACACATACCTGTCAGAGGAGGAAAATGAGAAGTCGTGTGCCATGTAAGTACAGAGTGTGACTGTGAAGGGGTAGTTTTGTGCCATTACTCTGAAGAAGGGTCTTGGATGTTCAGCTGAAAACTGAGCAGCCAGTCAGAGGAGGCTGTGAGGCAGCTGCAGTGTGTCTGTGTCACAGTTCACCGGTGTGAGGGGCCTCCCATGGGGCTGTGCCTGTGCCCAGAGTGACCCTCAGTGCTGCCCCCCTGCCTGGCACAGCGTGGGGAGGAAAGGGCATTAATAGGAAGTTGCCCTTCCTGCTTGTTGATGGGACTGTTTGCTTTCCTTTGCAGCGGTGCAGGAGTCTGAGGTGAGTATGTGTCTCCTTGCTTTCTCTTTGGGGGGAATGTGTGGAAGTGTGATTTGAGAGGGGCCCAGCAGTGGCTCTTGACCTTAAGGAATAAGCCCAGGTCTGTGTGGTAGTAGTGGAAGGAGCAGGAATTGCTGATAAAAGCTGCTAAAACCTGACTGTTCATATTCTGTGTTTTCCTCTGACATGTCCTAAAGCATGAACAGCATGGTCAGGCTTTGAGGTCCATCGAATAGAAAGGGGCTCAAATAACTGTTCTTGTGCAGGAAGTCGGTGCTGACCCTGAAGAAACCAAGCCTGAATCGGAGAATCTTGTTTGACCCATGGCAGACAATGGGGATGGTTAAAAACAACCAAGCACTATACATTTTTTCTACATCTGCATGAATGACTGTCATCTTTCCTTCTCCCATGGGCAGCTGTCACTTGATACACACTGACTATTCCTTTATTGCTTGTTGTTGGGAAAAAGTGAGGGTTTTTCCATTTTAATCACTCCACATAACTCATACATAACAGAGTTTCCAAATGTATTTGGAAAAGATTTTTCCTTTTTAGGAGTAAAAAAGATATTGCTGAGAAAATGAATTGTGCACAGCATGGCGCATATATGTTTTAATAAAGAAAGTTAGTATCCTATGTGACCACTGTGTTTTTAAATAAAGTTTTTACTAATGAGAACCCCTTCTCTCCAATACCAACAAATTTGGAATTGTCAAAAACGTCCCAGGACAAGAAGAGGCGAGCTCAGACCTTCCTGTCACATGAGCAGCAGTTGTCCTTTGTCAGAGGAGCGTGGGCCCACCAAGGAGGGTTTGAATAATCCTGGCAACAGCTGGGTTTCATTGCTGCCTGTGCTTTTGGTAACCCAAACATCTGCTGGGGGGTCTGAGCGCAACTGGGCGAAGCAGTGGCAGTGCTGGGAGGACAGGAGGAGCTGTGAGCAGTCCCGGTGGGCTGGGACGCTTGGTTTTGGGTCAGGTAGTGCCAGTGAGGCCTCCCTGACATCTTCCTTCAGCCATGGGGTGTTTGCTGCTTAGTCCTGGGTGTGTGTGTGTGAGCAGGATTTTGTGGATAGAGTCAAAGGTGGCCCCCTTTGATGGTTTTGTATGCCAGGATTTGGGGGTTTGTTTCATGATTTGAGAGGCTATCTTGTTTGCCAGGAGGTTTGTTTGAGGGGTTTGGCAGGTTTGGAGGTGTTGCTTTGCTGCAATTTGAGGTATTTTCCTGCCTTTGGGCCTAGGCCCTGCCACAGCCTTCCCTGCGGTAGCGGGCCAGGAGAGAGGGAATGGTGTGACCGTTACGGGCCCCCTGAGGGGACTGGAGACCCAGTTGCCCTGCCCTGCCCTTCCTGCAAGTCAGTGCCTTTCTCTTGGGCGTCAGGTGGGGCCAGAGCCCATCCCACCCTGTCCCACATGTGGCAGCAGCCGCGGGCGGCGGGGAGGCCTCTGAGATGGCGGCAGCAGCTTGGGCAGGGCCCCATCTGTCTGGTGAGTGGGGCCATGAGGGAACCGCCTCGGTGGCCATGAGGGAACAGGCTCTGTGGCCATGAGGGAACTGCCTTGGTGGCCATGAGGGAACAGGCTCTGTGGCCATGAGGGAACAGGCTCTGTGGCCATGAGGGAACAGACTCTGTGGCCCGGAGGCAGAACCCTGTTCTCGAGGTATAACTCGGTCCTTGTGTTGCCCCGAGGTCCTCACCATGGTGCTGATCACGCAGCTGGAGCGGTCGGACACTGTGGGCTGTGAGATGGGCGAGTACCCCAATGGCACCAAATGCTGCCCCACGTGTGCTGTGGGTATGTACCAGGCTGTCTGCCCTGTCTTCTCCGCCCGCTCTGCCTGCTGTGCGTGCTCTGTCTGCTCTGTCTGCTCTGTCTGCTCAGCACCTCAGCTTGGGGTGGCTCCATCTGCCTCAGGGGCCATCGGGTGACCTATGCCAGTGGCCATGGGCAGTGGCTATGAGGTGACACACCTCAGTGGACAGCGACCATGTGGACCCACCACCGCTGCCGTGCCCACTGTGCCCTGACAAGAGCCAGGCAGCCCATGGCTGTGAGCGTCACCCCAGGGTATCCTCTGCAGCCAGCACTCAGCCCTCACCCAGTGCCGGGCCCTGTCCCTTCCTTGGGAGCCCCCAGAGTGGCCGTAACAATCAGCAGAGTCTGTAGGATGTACACATCCAAAACTCTGGTGCTCTTGAGCAGTGCATCAGAACAAGGCTAAATGTTGTCTTTTGCTTTGGGTTGTGTTTCCCTGTGTCAACACTGTGGCTCTGTGTGTGTGGATTTTTCTCAGGGGCCAACCTGGTGACAGCAGCAGCGTGTACCTACACGAAGAGTGCAGCATGTGGCTGTCGGCCAGGCCACTTCTGCAGCTTCCCTGGGCCTGAAGTCTGTGCAGTGTGCCAGCCCTACACTGTCTGTTTGCCTGGCACTGTGGTCAAAGAATGGGGTAAGCCAGCAGGGCATCAGTGCCACCAGCAGCAGAGTTTCCCTAGGGAATGCCTCTGGAGTGTGGTGTGCTGTGGCCAAGAGCACTTTGTGCTTTTTGGTGGTGTGCAAAGGCAGAAGGGTGTGAGCTGCTGTGTGTGGGGAAGGGTCTCTGCAGTAATGGCTGGCTCACTTCCAAAGGCCACACTTTGGAAGCCTAAGGCTGCTCTCCTTAGGCCGAGGCTGAGGGGCAAATCCTGGGGGCTTCTTCCTTCTAGGTACAGCCACCAAGGACCATGTGTGTGAAGTCTGTCCTCCTGGCACCTTCTCTTCAGCCAACATGTCTGTGGCCTGCACACCAGGGCCCAGGTAAGCAGCTGTGACTCCTTGTGGGTGAGTGGCTGTTCTCTAACAGCTGGCTCTGCATTTGGGTGTGTTCCAAACAGCAGTGTCCTCCCTGCAGTAAGGTGGTCAGTGTGGAATCCTGTTCCTGTGTCTCACTCTTTGTTGGGAACAGCTCAACTCCTCTCTTTATAAACTCCTTACTATGACAGGTTTCAGGCTCTGATCTGAACTTGTCAGTGCAGAGGAGCCCCTTGGGCAGGTCTAGCAGAGCTGGATCTGTAGCCATGGAGAGCAGCAGCCTCCTGGTACTGGGGTTTCAGCTGGCACATCCCTTAGCTAGAGTAGAAGAGTTTGCTTCTGAGGAGAATCCTTTTGCAGTTAGAGGCATTTGAAGCAAAGAGGTAAGAATCAGGTGCCACCTGGATTAGCCAGCAAGTCAGCAAGAGCCTTGGGAATGGTGCTGGCTGTGGAGGTGTGATGTTAAAACCAGGGCAGCAGTTCCAGAGCAGGGTCTGCTGGCGGGTTGTATCATCACAATTATTTCTTTCCTCACATCAGACGTAAGAAGCAGGACCTGCTCATATTCACCGCAATCCTTGTCTGTGTTATGGTGGTGTTGACTGCTGCTGCTGCCTTCATGGAAGCCTGTCAACGGCTTCGAAGGAAAATGAGAAGTCGTGTGCCATGTAAGTACAAGGAGTGTGACTGTGAAGGGGTAGTTTTGTACCATTACTCTGAAGAAGGGTCTTGGATGTTCAGCTGAAAACTGAGCAGCCAGTCAGAGGAGGTTGTGAGGCAGCTGCAGTGTGTCTGTGTCACAGTTCACCATGTGAGGGGCCTCCCATGGGGCTGTGCCTGTGCCCAGAGTGACCCTCAGTGCTGCCCCCCTGCCTGGCACAGTGTGGGTAGGAAAGGGCATTAGTAGGAAGTTGCCCTTCCTGGTTGTTGATGGGACTGTTTGCTTTCCTTTGCAGCTGTGCAGGAGTCCGAGGTGAGTATGTGTCTCCTTGCTTTCTCTTTGTGGGGAATGTGTGGAAGTGTGATTTGAGAGGGGCCCAGCAGTGGCTCTTGGCCTTAAGGAATAAGCCCAAGTCTGTGTGGTAGTAGTGGAAGAAAGAGGAATTGCTGATAAAAGCTGCTAAAGCCTAACTGTGTTCATACTCTGTGTTTTCCTATGACATGTCTTAAAGCTTTAACAGCGTGGTCAGGCTTTGAGGTTCATCGAGGAGAAAGGGGCTCAAACAACTGTTCCTGTGCAAGAAGTTGGTGCTGACCCTGAAGAAACCAAGCCTGAATCAGAGTCTTGTTTGACCCATGGCAGACAATGGGGATGGTTAAAAACAACCAAGCACAAACCCTTTTTTCCTAAAACTTTGTGAAGGGAAAGTCAGTTTAGAAATTCTTTTGTGTCTGCTGAGAACTGCTTTTACTTTTGGTGGTCAAATAAGAGACCAGTCAAGAAGACAGTTCTGACATTTCCTTCTGAAAACTCCAGGAGCACCCAGCAAATCCACTACTGGTTTTGTGTTTGCTGGTTTGTGGCTGGTCTGACTGTGTCATGATGATCAGTAAAGGGAGGAACTGCGGAAGTACAAATCTTTTTTCCTGACCTTTTTTGTCTTTGGTAAGTTCTTTAGTAGCTGGTTAATGTTTCATTAACATTGGATATTTTCCAACATTTCCAACTGTAGAAACTGGTAATTGTTAACTCCTTCTTGTCTCTCTGCAACGCCTGTGCATGAAGGGTCCATTGTAAATAAAAAAAGCTTTTTGAGCAAACCTTTAAGATAAAACCACATCCCCAAGTGGAGAAAGTTCAGAGAACAATGACAGGGCATCTTCAGCCATCTCTGTACTACAACCAACCTTCTGCTAAGTTGTGTTTTAGGGGTTTTTTTATTGTCTAATGACTTGTCTTGTTGCTGAAGGCCCTCTTTTTCATCCTGCTGCTGCACCTGCACCTCTGTGACCTGTGGCTTTTACAGACTGTGTCGTTTTTGAATTGTTAATAAAGTGATAATAAATTTACTGAGGTAAATAAACAGCTGTGAAAACAGGTGAAGATCTTGAGGAGGGAAAGGAGTTCAATATTGCTGTTGTTCACTAAGTTTGTCATTAGGAGGAGGGATTTATTAGTGTTGAGGCAGCAATTGCTCCAAAGATGTTTTTGCAAAGAAATATCTGTCCTCTAGCCCCGTAATTACGTGACTTTCAGTGACTTCACTTGCAGGCAGAAGCTGCTGTAGGTGAGCTGTGAGCTCTGCACAGCCAGGTAAGGAGGTGCAGCACCAACCAGGGCCACCCATCTACCAGCTAGAAATGAAATATTTGGGTGCTGCCACAGCAGGGTGTTTAATGTCTGCACCAAGTGAGTGTTCCACGGAGCCTGAAAAGAACTCCTCCGTTGGATGTGTCTTTTGGTGTGTTTTGGAAGCCGGGTATGTCGCCAGGTGGCAGCATGGGAGAAGGAAAGGCTTGATGTTCCTCGTTCTGGAAACCACCGGGATCGTCCTTCTTTTCCTAAGGATGTAATAAAGCTTCTCTGATGCCCAATTGCCCACAAGTCTAAAATGCAGCGAAACAGGGGGGTTCTGTGCCAATCTGACTTTACAGGCTCAAACCTTTTGCCAGTGGGGTGCTGAGATCAGGGAAGCAAAGGAATAGTGTGATTTAGCACTTTGTAAGCACCAGAAACACAAAATATCCCAAGCTGGAAGGGACCCACAAGGACCATCATGTCCAACCCGTGGCCCTGCACAGGACACCCCAGGAATCCCACCATGACTTCACACAAGCAGTTACTGCCTTGCTTTCCAGGGATTTCTGTGCTAGAAAGAAAAGCATTTGCTGAAAGAGTATTTAAAATTCACTATGAAGTGTTGAAAGTTTAAAATATTCTCATTATGGTAGGATGTTTACCAAGGAAAGCCACCCAACCCTCTCTGTAGGGAAATCCTTGCTGAATTGGCCACTGTGATTTTTTTTTGTTTTAAATTTTATTAAAAATTAATGCATGTTACATTTTCAAGTGTAAATACTGAAAAATAGCCTATGGCAAAACGAAAAGGCACAGGATTAAAACCAGCTTAATTGTTTCCATGGATACATGTTTTGCTATTTGGCAAAAAGTATTTTATACACTTTCTACAAGAATAAGCATAATTTTAAATATATCTCTGAAGGGTGGGACCCTGTAATTTAACCATGAAGACAGAATTTGTACTCCTAAAACGTGATAATTCCAGTGATATGTCACTTGAAGGTTGTTCTTTGGAGCAGAGGAACTTGAGTGCAGGAGGAGAGTGCAACAGGCATCTCGACACAGGGCTCACGGCGTGACATGTCACGACAAATAGCGATCTCTGACAGCAAAGCAAAGTGCAGGGGTACACACAGCAGAGTTTACAGCAGCTCTAACCTGACTTGGGGAAGAATGCACCAGAAAGCGGATCAGAACACTGGGAACGGATCGGTGAAACACCTCAGACAGGTCTGCTGAGCCTCAGAAGGCGGAGCTGGCATATTAAAATTATTGTTCCTTTCTGAAAAATAGACTTGTGGCTGTTTGTTGGTTTTGTTTTCCCTTAAGCATTAGTCCTTGTAGCCCTGATGCAGTGTCTCGATAACAGTCGGGATGTCGTAGAAACAGTCGCTCTGGCCGGGAACAGCCCGGGGGCTCCGGCCCAGCCCCGGCTCCCTGCGATCCCCGTGTGCTGCCCGGGGCACTGGGACAGCTCAGTGCCGTGGGCCAGGGGTCCCACTCCAGCAGCTGCCCCCTCAGCCCTGGCTGGGACTGAGCAGGAGAACACCAGGCACGTCCCTGCCCAGCCGTGTGGTGGCCCCGGAGGGGTCCCCCTCCCTGTCCCTGGGTTACCACACCCGGCACTTCCCTGCGGGGTGCATGGCTGTGCCCTTCTTGCAGCGGAACACCTCGGAGAAGGCTTCGAAGTTCTGCAAGGATCCCATCACCCTAAACAAAGGGAGGACACTTGTTAACATGGAGGCCCAGTGCATGTGCTCTCCAGTCATGGCAGAAATCCTGAAAGCTAGTCTGGATTTATCCAGTGTGTTATAAAACTCTCCTTCTGGGCTGTCTTGGTGCGAGGGGGTGAATGAAGTGAGTTAGGAGTCAGTAAAACCCACCTGTACTTCAGAGGGCTGTGCACGTCTGTCTTTATGGACTGGCTGGCATATTCTGGTCTGTAGGAGCCACACCAAACCTGGACAGGGAGCATTGATAATCAGTGGGTCAGGGTTTCAGGGAGTTCATTTTGGGAACATTCTCACTGGTTTTCAAAGTTTTCCTAAGAGCCATCCCAGTTTGTTATGATATCACTGGAGTATGTTTTATAGAGAGGCAGAATACATACATTATTAATTAGGTTTTGTTTTACAAGGTCTCGGATCAAGATCTCATGCTTTGGGATCAATCTATCAGCAGGTGGTTTCACCAGGTGTTTCCTTCCTCACATGAACTGAAATCTAAGAGCCTGGGGCACCACCCTGACTGTTCTTACCTGGGCAAAATTGAGGAAGAAAAGCTGTTTGTGGGACAGGTTCAGTCCAGGAAGCTTTGGCTCCTTTCCTTCCCGTTCCAGCCACTTCAAATAGGCCTGGAAAAGACCATAAATCCAGCTGAGAGGAGCAGCAGGAGAGAGATATTGAATGTTTTATTGGGGTGGGAGGCTTTAGCCACAATATGAATGAACCCAACATGTTTCCCTTCTGTACTTCTGTGGTTTTCTCTCTCTAACACAAATAGTACAGAGAATTTTATGACAAAGGTGTCAGCATAAGCTCTGTTGACTTCATTGACTCTTTCAACAGGAATTTGTATCTGGAAATAAAGTGTTAAGTCTCCTCCACAGCTCTAGAGTGATGACTTTTCTCTCTTCAGGTAACTGCTCATAAAATAGCAGATATCAACCTTGCTCAATGTTAAATCCATTACCTCTTATTGTTACACATTAATTGGCCAATTTGCCTTTTTTAGCTATATTGACATGATGGAGACAAGTTAATGTGTCCTCACGCTGGTTAATTCCCAGTGTTCTGTTTCTGCAGCCTCTCTGTTGCTGAGATAGTCCCAAAGCACATGAAACAAAAGGGAGAGCTGAGGGTATAAATAGATCCAGCACCACAGAACGTCCCAGGATTCTGTAAGCAGGCAGTTTTTATCTTCCCACTCTGCTCCTGCACACCTGTAATGGCTTTTGAAACAATTCTAACAAAGTCATTGACTGGAATGTTGTCCCTCAGGGTCAGAAATGTCAGTTAAGATTTCTGAAAATCCAGGGTGGGCTATGAGCACCCTTAACTGGTGCCATACTCAAAATACCAGAGATAAAAAAGCTGCACCAGGACATCTGTAAGGGTTATTTGTAGGGGAGAACATTCCCTGCTCACCCTGGAGCTCCACCTTTGGGCTGCTCCTGGGTCCAGGAATGGCAGGTCCTACTCTGATTGGATCCATGGGGACAGAAGCTTCTAGACATATAACTGAGGCTTTAGCTTTCTGCATGTGGTAATAACATGTTAAGTGTAATTTTTTTTAGGACAGATTGGGTAACCCCACTGCTGGATGCCAGGTAAGGTTAACTCACAGTGTGTTTGAGTTACCTTGTAGGCCTGTCGGACTCCTCCATTGTCTGCAATGTTTTCTCCCAGTGTGCTGATGCCACTGACCTGTGAAAAACAATCAGTTATTTACTCCATAGCCAGTAAAATCAGCAACTCCAAGACCCACAGGCTGAAGCACAGTCGTACAACACAGACAAACAATGGCTTTGTGCTGGGGCAAGAAAAGAGAGAATAAAAATTTAAAAAAATCACAGGGAAAAAGCTGCAGATTAGAGACCATCTGTATGAATGAACCACCAACAGGAGCTGGGCTGGTGCTGGGCAGAACCTCCCTGCACACAGAGCCTGGGTTTGCTGGGCTGCTGTTGTGCCTTCTTCCCAGAAGAGCCAGCTGCAGGGTTTGGGGGGTGTTCTCAGTAGGGATTCCCTGTTCCCAGCCCTGTGGAGAGGGGGTGGTTGTTACTCACGTTCTGCCCCCCCGCCAGCTCCCAGGTGTAGTTCCCGTACTGGTGCACCATGCACAGGGACTGCTCCTTGAAGTGCAGCGCTGAGAAGTTGCTCCACCAGTCCAGCATGTTCCCATCTTTATCAAAATTCCTTCCTGCAGGGAAATCCAAGTTAAAAAGCAAATTTTTCGGTGAGAGCACGTTGGAGCCACTGTTCTTCCAGGGCAGCACCTGGGATGTCAGAGCTGGGCCCTCCCTCCTTCCTCCTTTGGTTTGGATGCTCAGGAATGTTTGTGGCACAGCAGATCCTCTTTGTCATGAGGGAATGGACAAGATCAGCTATGACTTCTGTTATTCCATGATTTCCTGTTCAGTCAGCAGCCCTGACTTCAGCTAAACCACTAAGGCCTGGTTTTATTTCCAGCTGGATTGTGCATCATGGAACAAAACTTCCCCCACCTTTGAGGTAACTGAGGTGCTTGTTCTGTGTGCCCATGTGACATAACTGAGGTTCATGGAGAACTAAAAGCTGGAATTGCAGTTCTGGGGTTTGTGTTCTCAACTCTCTGTCTAGAGCAAGGGTTTTCTCTGCTCTGGAACTCAATTTCTGAGGCTGTGTTGTGTGTTTATGTGTCATCTGCACAAGATTAATTACCATAAAAAAAAACAACTTGAAGAAAACCCACGTGTAAAAAAACCACTGACTTATGGAATCAGAAGGGAGTTTCTGCCCCAAACATTTTTACATGGCATTCAAGAAAGATAATAAAGTCAATTTCTTTCAAGCATTCGTGTTGAAAAACAAAATCTCCCGGGATTTCAAGACACTACTGAAAACTCTTCTGCCCCAAGAACGTCATTCCCTGATTTCATTGTACTCTGGGAGCCTGTGTATCTGCTTGCTTTGTGTTTCTGATCTGATGATGCTGTAAAAGTCACAGTTTTTCCTGAGAATTGCCATTGCCTGAATTTCTCTCTGACATCTGGTTTCCTGCGTGCCCTGCTTTGCCCGTGGAACATTCCCTGCAGAGCCATCCCGGGGGGTTCCCGGTGGGCCTGAACAGGGCAGGCTGTGACTGGGACCTGCAGCCCCAGCAGTCTGTCGCTGCAATTCCCGACAGGGGAAGGAGTTTGAGCTGGAATAATCCCATTTCCCAGGAGTTTGAGCTGAAACAATGCCATTGCCAGGTCTCTCCTCACCGTTGTCGTCGAAGCCGTGGGTGATCTCGTGCCCGATGACCATCCCGATGCCCCCGAAGTTCAGGGCCTGTGGCTGGTGTTTGCTGAAGAAGGGGGGCTGGAGGATCCCAGCAGGAAAAACTGCAAAGAGGGAGAGACAGGGGGAGATGCCATAAGGTGGCTTTATTTTTGCATCCTTGGCAGACAGCTTGTTTGCTTGGTGTAAGGGTCGGGAAGGAACACCAAATATAAAATGATTAGAAACAAGCTCATGCCTCCTGTGAAATTGTTTCTCTCTTGATAAATGGGAAATGACAAGTTAATAAAGGTTTAATTTGGCACATCTGCAGCTACAGTATCTCCCTGTTTGAGGCCCAAGCATCATTTGCATTAAGTTTAGCCTAATTTGGTGCATAATGTTTGCTGCAGTGAGTCAAGAACAGAATGTTTAGGAGCTGTCTTTTGGAGACAGGCACAGTTTGTGTGCAAGAGCCATTTTATAGGGGAACTAATGGATGTGTTATTGCTTTATTTGGGTTAAGGAAACATTAGAAATCATCTGCTGGTTCCAACAACAGCTGGGGTGTAAAACATGCCCAGGAGGGATTCCTACAGACACCAAGGGCACTCGATGCCAGTCGTGCCCACAGCTCTGCAAAAACCCACCCAGCTGCTGTGTCAGCTGAGGGCTTTGCCTCTGGATGCAGAGATGCACTGCTGTGGGGCTAAAAATGCTGAATTAGTTCCATGCAGCAGTTTAAAGCTGTTTAAACCTACCTATCTGGTTCCTGTTGGGGGAATAGAATGCATTGACCACTGCAGCTCCAATTATCCATCTAAAAACAAACATTGCACACAGTGAGTAGTGATTTTTAATTTTTTTTTAGTCATTCTTTTAATTTAATTATTGTTTAAAAAGTTTGTATAGAAAAGGATGGAAAGGAAATAATCCTTATATGGATTATATATGTATAAATAAAATATATATAATATAAGGAATATATTTATGGATGTATAATCCCTACAAGCATTATATATATATATATATATATATGGATATATAATCCTTGTAAGGATATATATTATAAGGACTATATATATATTATAAGGAATATATATAAGGATATATAAAGAAATATAATTTGCTGATAAGGAAAATCCCGCTAAGGAAATTGCATAAGGAAAGGATTAATGTAGGGAAGAAAGGTGCATTGAGCACAGCTGGAAAGAAATCCTGATACCAGGAAATACCTGCTGGCCTGTTTATGGGCACCTCTCATCCAAAATAATTCCCAGGTAAAGGGAGAGATGCTTTTCCCCTCGAATGCTGAGCAGCCACACTGGTGTGGAAGGTGGTGACTGGTACCCCCTCTTCCTGACACTGTCTGGGATGGAGAATTTCCATGACACTGTTTCCCTCCTCCCCTCCTTGCTGGGCTGTCAGAAAGGTCTGGCACTGCTCTCGTGTGAAGTATTTCAGTGCCATTTCTGAGTGTGAAACATCTTGAGGAAGGACTGGAGATTCTGAGGGAAGGGCTGGATTGCTGCTGCCAGAGTCAGTGAAGTACCTGCTTAATTCCCTGACTGCCTCAGCCCCAAGCACTCTCAGCTGCCCCAGCATGACTTGCACACCCTCCCCATTAATCCAGATCTTGGACTGAGGCTGTAAAATGCTGGCTGGGAACTCACATGTCTTGGTCAACTCTCTCTCGAAGTTTTTTCAAGCTCTTCTGGGCCCCAGCTCGCAGGTTTTCCAGGATGTTTTCAAAGTAATTGTGTTCACTGAAGTTTAACTAAAGAAACAGAGCTCCAGGTGTATTAGTAAGCTGTGCAGAAAGAGGGACTCCTCATACCTCTGTAAGAGGTTTTTTCATTGCATGGTATCAACCAAAAGTTGGCTCCCTGCATGCATTTATTTATTAATGTGTTCTTTTTAATGTCCTTGGAAAGGACAGTTGTACAGGCATAAGAATTCCAAGTGGCAAGAAAATAAGTGGAGGCTTTTATCTTGAGGTGTGCACAGGATACTTACATTGGCATATTCCTGATCCAACTTGTCATTCTGATCTTCCAAAATGTAATCTGGATAGCCAATTTGTTCTTTGATTGCCATTGCCTAGAAGAAAAGAATTTAGTGTTTCCCCTTAATTGTGGTTTTTGTTGGTGTGTGGTGGGTTTTCTATGAAGTGTCAATACTTTATTGAATAGAATAGTTTAGTTGTTTTTTTTTTTTCCCTTGCTATTGGAATGGTGCTGATGGTCCTAAAGTCAATGAAATGTTTTCCCTGGGGGATTGCATTGTGTCCAATTGCCATTCTAGTTGATGTGGGGCTAACAAAGGATTAAAAGGAAAGGACAATGTGATAAGATAATGGAATAATGAACATTGAAGTATCTTCCTCCATTTTGTAGAGGAACTGGAAATAGAGATACAACAAAATTCAAAATATTTCATATTCATAAGGGAATCCTGAAGTTCCCTGTTGTCTCTGACCTTCTCCCTGGCTTTCTCCTTGGATGCCTCGTCCATCCACTGTAGCTCATCCAAGGTCTCCACGAACACTTCACGGATCTTCTCTATTAAATCTCGCACCTAAAAGAGAACCAGTGAGACAGGAATCACTTACCTGATTTACATCTCCCCAGGCAGAGCTAAGGAGGGGTGAAAAGCTTCCTGCTGAAGCCTGATGTCCCCAGATTCTCTGCTCTAAACCACAGTGCTCAGCATTCCAAAGATCATAACTGAGCTCTCCTTCCTTCCCACTCTTGGCCTGGGGGGATCTTTCACAGGCAAAACATTCTGGGGGCTCAGACGGGAGGGAACGGGCTCTGTGGGCACGGTGCAGGTACAGTAGTACGAAGGGTAAACTACATACCATCCTCTTGCTCTCACCAGCAAAAGTCTCCCGGACATACATCGCTCCCACCGCGTTCTCCATGTTGTTGTTGACGTAACTCACGCACTCCCTCCACCGCGCCTCCTCCAGCGTCGTCCCGTAGAGAGCCTGCAGCACCAAGCACAGCTTTGGCCCTGCCTGTGCACCTCCAGAGCCTCCCCTAACCAGCAGCTTAGCCTAAGGCAAAGGTTTCCACTGCCACCCCGGGCTTTGTCTGGGGATTACGTGACTGAACCGCGGCATCGCAGGATGGTTTGGGTTGGAAGGGACCTCAGAGCTCATCTAGTTCCACCCCCCTGCCATGGCTGTGTTGACAAGGACTTGCTCTGGAGCTGTTGGGCTCTCCTCCAGCCCAGCTGTCCAGGCAGGGAGGAAATACCTTCCTGTAGCTGGCCCGGGCGTCCTTGAAGCGCCGGCTCAGGCTGCTGATGCGGTCGATCACCAGGCGCCAGATGAGGTAGTTCTGGATGGTGCTGTGTGGGAAAGCAGAGCTGAGCTTAATCCCCTGCAAAAACCAACACCAGTGCAGCCAGCCAGAGGGGGATCTCAGTTTTGGATGGAGACAAGGAAGCAAATGACTGCTGCCAGTCCTGGGTTTCACGGCATCTGCAGGGGACTGTTCTCATTTCACTGGAGTTGCCCAGCCCGAGGACTGGACTGTCCTGTGTGCTCAGGGATTAATTTCCTATTGGTTTTCCTTCTGGAATGTAACAAGACCTAAGCCTGTGATGTACTTTTTGCTTCCCATTTAACCTTTCCTAAGCAAGCAGCAGGTGAGACACTTGCTACTGAAGTGCTCTGAGACTCCAAGACCTTCAAAGACATTTCCCATATTTTACAGGGCTGTCATTTTCCTTGGAGAAGCTCTGGCAGAACTAGAAAGGGGGTCCAATGATTGACATATCCACAATATTTCTGTGAATTTTGATGGTATATTCTCCAGTTTTTTACCTTGCTGAGTACTTGGAGATGATTGCCTTCAGCTCTTGCAGGTAGGGCATGCCATAGACAACCACCTCCTCCTCTGGGTCAACCTGGACACTTACTGAAGACATGACACCTTGGATGAAGAAGGTCCAGTTAAATTCCTAGGCAGACAGAGAGACATGCCAATGGTGGGTGCTTAAGTGCCTTAGTAACTGGACTTTCTACAGTTTTATGGCCTTGAATGCAGCTGTAGTGTTGTTCAGCAGAAAGAAGCTTTTTAAGAGACTCTGAAGACAAGATTAAGAATGGGATTGATTTTATACCTCTTTGTTGAGTCACTGACAAATTCATGAAACCATTTCCATTGGAATTAAGAGACTGAAAGTATGAGACTGCTCATTAGGCACTTACATTCAATGCAAACTTTTCCTGTAGCTCTGTTAAGGTCATTTTGTTGTACAACAAGGTGACATCGTGCCTCTCCTCTGCTGGGGTTGTTGCCTGGAGACATTCACAAGGTTATTACTGGACTCAACTGGCAGAAATATCAATGGCTGAAATCACATGCATGTGCACAAATGCACACTCAAATAACATCCAAATAAATCATTTTTCTGGGGAGAAAGGAAACTCATTTGATGGTGTCCAGTGCTGCTCTCTAAATTTCAGTGCAGGAACTCTGGTCCCTGCTATTCAATAATATTTTAGTGACATGCTGAGCCAAGTGGTTCCCTCTGTCCTCTAGAATGGCAGAGCAAGCTCTGGGAGATTTTTAGGGGGCTGTAGATTCCTAAGGACGTGAGGGAGTGAGCCCTGGTGTTCTCACAGTGTGTGTTTAGCAGAAGATGGGTTATCCTGCTTTAGAAGAGTTCCAAACATAAACACAGCTAGGACTGGAGCAGCACAGCAGTGTATTCAGTAGACAGTTATAGACACACTGATTTCTGGGCTGTTCATGGCACAAAAACTCTTCTTCCCCCTGTTTTCTGGGCCGTGGGTTTCGTGCTGGGTTGAAAACTGCTGCACAAACATCAAGAGATCTGCCCCCTCATCCCTCACCCCCCGGCATCCTGAGCTCTGGAGCTCTGTACTCACATTTGCAATCTCTGTTTCAAGCTCCATCACCTTTGTCATCTCCTCTTGGACAAAGGAGTCATCTCTAGACACGTTCTGGTCCTCCCGGATCATTTTGGCCACGGTGATCATGAACTGCAGATAAGCCTCTCTCACCTGCACACAGGACACAGGGGGTAGGGACAGTATTGAGGGGTTTTTTCCTGTAGTAGATACCACTGCCACACCTTGGAGCTCAGTTCAGCCTGGAATACCCTGCAGGGCAGTTACCAGCCTCAAAACACACTTCCTGCTTCCCTGTGCAATGCAGCTCTGGCACTCTGAGTTAGAATTGCTGAGAAGGCTCCATAAATTGAGTTACTCTGTGGGAACAGTGATCCCCACCAGCCAAAATCCCAGAGTAAATGTGGAAGGTTTGAGTTCTCTGAAAGCAATACCATAAATCTTCTCAACTCTGGTTTCACTGAGACAAAAGCTCCGTCTCAAACAGTTCCAGTGATACCTTTGCTTTATTTCTGGTGGGAGGTTCTGGCTGATTCATGCCCCAGAAAGGGCTTTGAAAAGATATTTGGCTGCTGAAGGAGTACTGACCCCTGATGCAGGAAAACTTAAAGTCACCTGTTCTTCTTGTACACTTTTCTTCCTCCAGAGACCTTGGAAACCAGATAAACACAGTAACTGTTGTGAAGTTGTGCCTGGGTACTTACAGGACGATGATTTGTGGTTTTAGGCTGAGCCCTTAATCAGGCCAGACTCCCCCAGGCCTCAGGAGGAGCTTTGCCAAAGGATGCTGGACTAAAGCACAGGGGGAGTTTGGGTCATCAGAGTTGGGTCATTGTCTGGGGGCAGTGAGCTGGTAAATAGCAAATAAAAAGGGGTTGTGTCTCCTCCTTAGTCATTAGAATTAAAGACACAGCCTTGCCCACGCTGGTTTATGGCTTCAAATTAAAGCTGTATCGAGCAGAGATGGTTTTCTTTTGCTAATCTGGGATGGTCTCTGCACTGTACCTGATTTTCCATCTCCTACAAGTCAATCTATGTCTGACCTTCCTGCACCAGTGCATCAATATCCCTCTTTCCTGCTGTGACTGCTCTGTCCAGGTGACACTTGCAGGACAGACTCCTGGTCCAGCAGCTCCCAGCACAGCTACCAGGAGGTTGTTCTGGATCAGGAGTTGGCAGCTTGTAAAGGTGCCCAGAAGGTGCAGAAACAATCCTGTACAAACCTCACAGGGCTGTATTTAAGCTATATTATCTGTGAGAACATAGTCAAATACATAGTCTTTGAAGTAAGAATCAAACTCTTCCCACTGATGTTTTCATCTGCTCTTACAACCACGAGACAAAAGAGTCTCAAATGCTGATTGTTGTCCCTCTGTTTTCCCTTCCATTCTTGTTAGGAAAATTGGTTTGATGTTGGGCTGCAAATACTCTTTGTTAGCATGACATAATTGAGGGAAATACAATGTACTAAAGCAGAATTTTCATCCTGGAAACAGATAAATTATCTGGCTCTGTTTGCTACAGCTTTCTGTGTATTTACAGAAACAGAGTTTTTGCACAATCAGTGCTTTTGCCCCGAGCATTGGCAGAGAAAAACAGCTAGAAAATCATCTCTCACAATCTTCCTGTAATTCTGGGGAAAGGGGAGAGTAGGTGGCAGCAGATTCTTACTAGCTGAGTATCAGTGGATTTAGAGGAAGATAGAAGGGAATCCAAGACAACCTGCACTGAAAATGTGAACCCTGTCCTTCAGAATTAGAGACTGTTTAATGATTTTGTTTTCCCATAATATTCTTTATGGTTGGCCAATTCTGGGGAGGCTTGATATTTATACAGCTGTTCAGTCCTTTTGTAAATGTGACAAAATTTTGGCATAATTAGGAAAAAACGTAGCAATGAATGTCACAGTCTAACTCTGATTGTTACATGCCCTGAAGATTCATATATTTGAGTTTTCCAAAGCACAGGGATAAGTAATAAAGTTGTTTTAGTGGTACATGGTAAATAAATGCCAAGGAACACTCACCCTTTGATAGTTGCCCCCATTGAAGTAGTAATCCCTGGATGGCATTCCCAAGCTTGGCTGGTCAATCTGAAGGAAAACACATTTCTCTGGTTAGTGATGAACAGGAACTGGGGTTGTCCAAAGGAATCCTTGAGAGGCAACATGAGATGCTGTTCCATCCTTCCAGTGCTGGAATGACCCTGCAGCCAAACAGCCAGAGAACTGCAGCTCTGCAAGGACTGGGGGGGATGGAAGGTACAACTTTGGTCTCTGGATTTTTGGGTAAGGACAGGATGGATCTTAGTGCGAGTTACTGAGCAAAATCTTTCAGTCCCCACTGAGATCCAAGAATAGATTTGGGCAACTTTTCTAAGTTGCTTGACTTGAGGGCTGGACTTGCTGCATGAACAAACTCTGAAATATTATTTACATATTTTAGACCCATGGTTTCCTGCTACATGTTAAACCTCACCATCATTTTCTAAGTCACAAGAATTTACAGCCCTTAAATGCTGTAAATCAGCAAAGTTCCATTGACTTTTATGTCTTTTACTGAAAAAAAAATTAAAAAAGCTGCCACAAAACCTTTCCCAATATTTCTTTGAGACAGGTCTGTCACTTGGGGCACAGGGCTGTTCCCTGCATTTGGCCAGTGCTGTGCTGTGGGAATCTCATCTGTCTGCACTGTGAACAAGTCTGCACTGTGGTTCTGGGATGCAGCTTTTGGCTCACATAGATGATGTGCCTGCTGGAGTCCCGGTCGTCGTTCCACACGAACATGTCGATGAGGACACGTTTGTTAAACCTGGAGTTCATTAGGGACAGTTTTTCTTCCATGCTCCAGCTTGGCTCTGGGGGATAACAGGGAGAACAAATACCATTTATCCACCTGTGTCAGGACTGATTGAAGTTGTGCAGTTTGCTGTGCTAAAATTGTGTAGATCTAATTCTATATATATATATATGTGTGTGTGTGTGTGTTAAATATGTGTGACCCCCTGACTCTTGTTGATGAAGAAAAAGTGAAAATGGGGGATTTAATCCAGTGACAGTGGCCTCCCTAGTGCAGGAAATGATTCTGACTGCACGTTATTGAACCCTTTCAGGCCCAGCATTACCTTTGGTCTTATTCCAGTCTGCAGAAGCCACTGGCCAGTCTCCAACCATCCTTAAGGCCTCCAGCAGAGGCAAAGAATCTCGTTGCTCTATAAGGCCTGAGAGAGGAAAGACAAATGCTGTGTTGTTTTCACAGAAAAACAGGTAATGAGCCTGACAGTTTAAATCTGAAACTCAATTTGTCACAGTCCAAAGGAAGAGAGACCGTGAAACCACCTGTCCCCTGCATCAGCCTTCAGAAAAGCAGTGAAAACACTTCTGAGGCTCCAGTGCTGACTTTTACTGGACTGGTTTGGGAAGGATGAACTGGGACAGGTTTGTGCATTCTGAAGGGAAGGTTTGGCTTCCACCCCAGGGGCAGGTACCCAACCTCCATCCTTTCCCCATCCCAAATGTGCACAGTAGGCCTTAGTGATGCACCCAGGCACCTTCACCCATCTGCAGATGAGCTTTCCAGGCAGATCCACCCAGATTAGACAGGTATTGGCTGGACTGAACAGAACATTGGTGCTTCTGTACACTCAGTATGGACCCCAGGAATCAATGGAACAAGAGGAGACTCACTCTCATTCATGCATGACTTGTAAAGGATTTTGGCTTTCTGAAATGCCTCTCTGTCCCCTTGATCTGAAGTCTCCAGCACACCTGGGGAAGGAACCATTGCCATGAGATTTGTGCCCTGGAGAGCTTTGATCATATCACAGAAATCCCTGAGAATTCAGGGCTATGATAAACACTTGTTTTGTAGCCTGCAATTACTGTGAGACTGGAGAGCCCTTCAGAGGAGCTATTAATGGCAAAAGTGTCAGGAGGAAGGATGTGCAGGCTCGTCCTGCTCCTTTTGAAGTCAGTACCAAATCACCTATGGCTAATTTTTAGTGGGAACAGGATGTTCCTACAAAATGGGGGCAGTAAGAGATGTAGAGATTAAAGGACCAGAGAGAAAAAAATCACACTCCACACTTCTCTCTGCAGGGTTATTTCTCTGTGTGCTGTGTGGCCAGAAACCCCTGACCCCAGACACGAGTGTGAGGATGGAGTAGCCTCGTTCCCACCTTTCAGGATGATCTCCAGCTCGTCCCTCAGGATGTCGAAGATGCTGTACCTGGAGCTGGTCTCTGGGATGACATGCCTGCTCAGCCAGCCCCCACAGGCGTACTGGTAGAAATCCTGGCACGGGTCAGCTGCGGGGTCCATGTTCTGGATTATTCTGGCAGCTGGGGACCAAAATTGGAGAGCTGAATCCCACAGGCTGCCCAGTGGTCTCTGGCACTACCAAAGCCTGTCAAGGAGCTGCTTGGCAAGAGTCATTCCCATGTATTGGGACTTGAAGGATCCCATTTTCTGCTTAAAAATGCCTGAGAGCCTCTGAGTGGCAGAATAGCTCTCCCAGAGCACAGTGCCCTGCAGGCATGGGGTGCTGCCCAGGGCTCCCCTGTGCTCCAGCTCAGGAACTTGCCTAAGAAACCAGTGTTCCAGGGGGGATTGGGAACACCCCTGATGGAGCCTCACCTCTCCTGAGCTGTAGATGCCAAAAATAAGAGGGTGAATGCCCCATGTATAGAATACACTCACAGAGAAAATTCATTCTAAAGGGATTCTTCCCATCCCAAGGCACAGACTGTTGGCCAGTCCATGTCCCTGTGGCTCAGGCCAGAGGGCTCTTGGCCACACTGGCAATTTTCCTGTACTGCTTCCTTATGGATGATACCCCTTGGGCAAGGGGAAATCTCATTCCTTTTCAACTTCAGCCTTAAATCCTGAATTACCTTTTATTCAGGTTCAGCACCAACACATAAAACACCCCCTGGGCAATAATCCCTCCCAGGGACCCCCTTACCTGCCGTGACACAGCCAGGGGTGGTGCATATGTTGCCTGAGTTGGTGCCATAGTGAGTTCCTGCAGGGAGAGGAGTGAGAAAGGACATGGAATCAGTTGTTTAGGAAGGGAATTGCCACCGAGGTCACTCACCTGAGCCCAGCCTGGGACAGCTCTGTGGGTTTGGAGTGAGTGACTGAACATCAGTGCCAAGGACATCGAATGGCAACTGCGAGGAAATCTTTGATCTGGAGATTTATGAGGAAAATTTATTGGCAGCAGCATTACAACAGCATTGACAGTGAGTTTTAACTCTCCTGGAAGGACAATGAGACCATTTTTTTCTACCTGCTGCCTCCACAGACTTTCTGATGCAAACTCAAACTACCAGATCCCTTTCTAGGCAATCTGTTGAGATGCTTTGAGCATCTGAGCTCTCTCATGATCTTCAAAGTCACCGTGACCAAGAGACTTAAACAGGGGGTGAAAAGCCCAGAGCTGCATTCCTGCTTTCCCACTCCTCTGAGCCACCAAGATCAAATCAGGAAAAAGAAATGATTTTGATTTCTTGAAGTGTGTGTGTGCTGGGGAGTGGGGGAGTGACAGACTCGTGTCTGGGGTATCTGAGCCCCCCAGACTGAGGAGTGGCCTTGGCCCTGAGAGAAGGAAATGAATTCTGATGGCTTAATTTCCTATTTGTGAAACTGGACCAGCTTGGTATCCACTTATGTTAAACAGACAACTACTTGCTCCACACTGGAAAACAAAAGTTGATACTTTCCAACAGGATTAGATATTTTTTAAACTCCTTTTTTGATCCTTGCACTGGGATGTTTGCAGTAAAGAGTTACTAGAGAATTCCTGTCAATGAAAGCAAGTGCTTTACATGAGAGCAAACAAGATTACAGTAATTCAGAGAGAAATGAAACAGTGGGGAAGAAAAGAGGGCTTTGAAGTTCATCAGTGGGAGCGACACAAAAAGCCCCCACTGGGATTGGGGGCCCAGCTGAGCACATCTGCATGAGAATAACTCTGTGTCTTGTGGCTGGGGTCTGGCAACCTCAACATGGGATGAGCAAAATATGGGTAAAAATGTGAAGCTTCACATAGATGGTTTAGCTTTTTTTTTTTTTCTTTTTGGTGTTTCTGTCAGGGGTTTGGTTTGTTTGTTTTCTTTTTTGTGTTGGATGAAGCTAAGAGAAATTTTTGGAGTTTCCTAAATTCTCTATTAATTAAACAATTAGCAAAATCAAACCTAAAAGCCCAGGGTATTTTCAAGGAAAAAAAAAAAGAGTTTTGAGAAAAGAAATAAGTAGTTCAAAGGCAGATGGAAATTCTCTGTAAAGGAGCAATAGCAAAGGTGAGATGGAAATACCTGTTTTACAAGAACTCTCTGCTTCTCATTGTTTCTCAGGGACCAGGCAGGACTCAAGTGAAGCCTTTTTTCTTTTATAATTTTTTTTTTTTTTTAGTCAAAGCTCCTACTTTTAATGTAACCTGACAACGTCTGACTCCAGTTTCTGGAACCCAACTGCTTTCAACAAGGCTCAGACTCCCCCCTTCCCAAAGCCCTGGGGACTGGGGAGCTGTAACTGAGCTGGATAACCAGGGGAGCCAGAGCTGGTTTGGACACTCGGGGCTCTGAAACTCTGCCACGAAACCAGATCAGGAGGAACAGCTGGTGAGGGGCTTGGAAAGTGTCTCCTTTGTCCTTCTGTCAATTATGTCCTTTATTCCTCAGCACCTTTCCTGACACAGACCCCACCTGGCCTGTGAGGGGTGACCAGCACTGCCCTGTTTGGCTTTGCAGGGGGTTTGTCAGGGCTTTGCTCACTCCACTGAGCCTCTGTCACCTGCACCTTCCAACAGCTGCAATCAAACATAGCAGTGCACCTCGTGCAGCCTCAGCCAGGCAGCTCTGTGCTTCATTTTGTCAGAGCCCTCTGCTAAAACAAGAGCCCAACTTTTCAGTGTAACTACAGGTAATTCTCTGTGTTTCTCTCCCCAGTCAGACGGTGCTGACATGCTGAGTTACAGTGACATAGAGCCTCCTGCTCTGACACCCCTTTCAGTCTGACACAGCATCATCAGAGAATTGATCAGGGAAGATAAACTTTAATGGAGCCAAATAAAATGACCTTGGCTGTGGGACTACAGCAAATGGAAGAAAATGAGGGAAATGGAGCAACTCCAGACGCTCCTTTGGAGGTGAATGGCTCACCTGAGAGATGGCAGAGCTGGGACGTGCTTCACACCCCTCTGGGCTCACTGTGGAGAATTTTACTGTCTTAATTTGCCTTTACAAGAAGCCACCGAGCCCTGTCACGTTCCCTGGGCAGCAGCAGGAGGTGAGGAGGACTCCTGAGAGCTGTGGAGCCCTGCAGGCCCCTTCAGCAGCTCAGCTTTGGAAGGGCAATTATTTTTTTTTTTTTAAGTACAAGTTGCTTTTCACAGCCTGACTGAAGCTCCCTGTCAGACAACAAAAGCAAAGCAAATTGCTGTGTGGGGCTCTGGAGCTCACAGCTTGTGTTCAGTGTTTCCCCACAGCACGTTTGGAGGAGCACAGATGGCTGGGGATGGCACACACGGGAACAATTAGAGCCACAGTTGTCACCATGTGGGAGCTTTACCTCCCAGCACCTTCCCTGTTCCCCAGAACTCCTCTGCAGAAGTGCTGTTGGCACTGCAACCTGCTCTTTCTGCTGTCAAACCAGCGGATTTTTTGCAGCAAACAACACAATTGCCAAGCTCAGGTTTTCCTTGTCGGGGAGGGTGGTCTGTACCGGGGTCAGGGGCCTCAAATGGAGCCCAGAACACAAGGGTTTGGTTTTATTCCTCCTTCCTTAGGATTTCTCACCTACAGGCAGGGCTGAGCCAGGATTTGTGTCAGACTCAGTGAAGTGTTTGCAGCCCTGCATGTCCTGTCACCCCACAGCAACACTCCACACCCATGGAGCTCCCTCTGACTTTGACTGAGAAGGGTCTTGCCACCCAAATATCACCATGACTTATGTTTTAGCTGCCACTTCTTTAAATTCCCCATCTGCTCTGAGTAGCTGCTTTTAATTAACGAGCATTCATCTGGGCATCAGTGCAGGAGAGGAGCAGAGCTCAGCCACAGCCCCCTCTCACAGTGCCAGTGGCCAGTTCAGATATTGCTCCTGGTCAGCAGGTGTGTGTACATCTGTTATTCGAGTGTGCAAAAACCACATTCACAGCATAGAAAATGTAGGAGGAAAATGTGTTTTTTTTGGAAACCCCCAGGGCAGGGTGTCGCTTAGACCAAAGGTTGGATTCTTCTCTGTTTACAACCTAAGAGGACAGAGCAGAGCATGACCTTGAGCTTCCCAACAGCCAGCAGGGACAACCTGAGGGGATGCAGGCACACAGAAATAAATATCTGTGAGTCTGGCTTCTGAGAAGGGAACTTGGAAGCCAGAAAGTGAATAAAATGTCACTGAGAGAAGACATTACTGGACCGGCAGTTGGGTGAGGATGGAAGTGGTTGGTAACTAAGTTGCCTGAAGAAGTTGCTGACTGATTTGATGTGTCAGCTACAATAAGTGCTGAAACGTTCTTCAGACTGTAACCTCTCCAACAAGTGCTGAGATCTGGAGTTTGGTAAATATTTGTGGAAGGGAGCTGGGAGGGAGCTGTGGAAAGGCTCTGAGCTGAACGTGTGGGTGTGATGGAAAGACTGAGAGTGTGGAGTGTTCAGGTCCAAACCCAGTGACTTCAGTCCTGTCTGCTTCCCTTGCTGTGATCACCCAAATATTACTCTGTTCTTCCTGTATTTTCCTTTAGCTTGTTTAGATGAGTTTTTTTGGGCATGAAAACTTCCTTGGATGTCGAGCATCCCCAGACTGCCTCTAGGACTGTAGAACTGCACTGCTGTGAGAGCTCCAGTGTTTTTGTTGGCTGGGAATAGAGATAAAAATCCCAGTCAGCTTTAACAGAACTACAGGAATTACTGCTGTACCCAGGGGCCTGTTTCATGCACCACAATGCTCCTCTGTGAGCTCTGTGCAAGCAGAACAGAAATAGTCTTCCTGAAGCACAAAGCCTATATATGCCTTTCTGTATTAAAAAAAGAGACAATGTAAGGCAGGACAGGTAATCCTTCTGTCTTTCTAATTTAATTTTCTAATTTAATTTCTAATTACTAGCTAAACAGAATTATTTGTTAGAGGCTGGGTAGTGCCAGCACGATCAGGGATGTTCAGAGATGAAGTGGCAGATCTGAATCTGCTCTTAGTGAACAATCCAGTGTCCCATTCTCACCTCAAAATCGACATTTGAGTGAAATTAGAAACAGAACAACCCCAGGATAGCACTCTGGGTTCTACCACATGAAAGCTGCTCAGCTACACTGGTTTTCTCCTGTTGCTGTGTGGGATTTATGTTGCACAGCTTTGAGCCATAAATGCTTTTCCCCTGGCGAGTCTGAGACTTCAGGCTCTTGGCTGAGCTTTGGGAATGGGCCTGGGGGTGACAGCAAAACAGGGCCAAGGGGAGCACTGGGACAAAACTTTTCAAGACAAAAAGACAAATGTTTCTCCTGCAGGAACAGCCTGAAGAGCTCTTTCTGCCGCACCTTTAGACCCAAACAGGGCACGCAGACACCCACTAAAGGGTGACATTTCTCCTGCTCGGTTCCTACCTGGAATTTCCTAAAGCTCGTGGCTGCTCCAGGGTGAGCCCACCCCGGGGTGTCCCCTGGAGCAGGAGATGAGCTGTGTGTGCTCAGGGGGAGCAGAGGCACAGAGGGGCTCTGGGTCAAACCCCCTCCATCCAGCTGGGAGGAACCAGCCCAGGACAGGCAGCACATCAGCTCTGCAGTGCCTGGCACTCCTGCTGCCCAGGAATGTCTGAATCTGGGAAACACCTCCAGGGAGAGTTTAACTGGCCATACAAGAATGCAAAATATTTACATTTTAGGCTTGTTTTCTCCCAGAGAAGCTTTCCAGCAAACAAACATAGTTAGCACTGGCTCCCCCCGTGTGTTTGGGTGAGACCAGTGTGTGACCAAATATTAACACCTGAATTATTCAGGCAGCGAAACCCTGCAGAGCTCAATATTTGATACAGAAACTCCTCCTCTAGTACCTTTCCCTGGGGAATTTCTTTCCTCCCATCTCCTGAGCTGGTAGAACAAACTTTCTGATGAACTTCACGGATACCAAACACTCAGATTTCACCCAACATTCAACGGCTGGTAGCAAAAGGAGTGAACAATAAAAAGGCTTTTCCCAGGAGTTACTGCCCAGAACTGTGCAGTGTTTCCCTTACAGGTGCTGAAAATGCAGTTCCCTGCAGCAGGGGATGCAGAGACAGGGGAAGGACACAGAGTGCCTTGCTCCAGGTTTGCTATTCCTGCTTTAGTTCTGTTCTCCAGCGTTTTAGCAGAGATGTGAATCCAAGAGGCTTTAATGGGAATGACAAACACAGGCATTTGATGCTTCACAGGATTTTAAAGCAGGTGTGCTGGTGGGAAAAAACTTCAGCTTTAGTTCGTGTGCTCTGCAGCTGAAATATTCAGGCAGAACACCTCAAAATAAGGTGCATCAGTGTCAGCAAGACGTTTGAACTAAAGTCACTGAACCAAATCACACTCCGAGATCCAACTGCCTGGTGGAATATTGAAAAAGTCTCTTCTTTCCTCATCAGAAAGTGGTATTGTTTTTTAAAGCTTTCACATTTTAATAAGCAATTTCTCCTTTAGAGAGATTGTTTTAAAAAGTGTTTTAAAGCAGCTGCTCCTTTAAAAATCCTGACAATGATGAATCTTGGCTTGTGCTTCTTGTGTAAGGAACTATCAATCCTTACACACAGACACACACCCTCCCCCTGAAACAGCGCAGCATCTTTCTCAAAACAATGCTGAATTCAACAAAATGCATGGAATTCATTGAAAACACAGAATCTTACATCACATAATTTAAAAATTAAGTAAAATCCAACACAATCTCTATGCACAAGCTGGGAACAAGGCAGAGACAGCCACATCCCTCACAGAGGTGACTTCACTGCCCCCCCTGGAATTTTATTTTCATTTATCTCTGAAGAAAAAAAAAAGAAGAAAAAGACTTGTATGCTGTTTGCAGAGGGAAGAGGAGAATCATTCCCAGGTTCTTACCTCTGCTGCTGGCATACAGGATCACCAGGGCGACGGCGGCACAAGTCATGAGGAGCAGCAGGACAGCCAGACCCAGTGCCACAAAGCTCCAGGGCTTCTTCCCAGATTTCGTTGATTTTTCCACAATATCCATTTGGCTTTCTGATTTCCCCATTATCGTAACTCTAAATCGGGGAGGGTAAAAAAAAAAAGAATTAACGGCACAGCTAAATCAGCGCAGGGGTAAAAGCAGGAGAAAGCAGGGAGGAAAAGGAAGCAGAATAAAAGCAAAGGGAGAGAGGAAAGTTCCAAAATATTACATGTATTTGTCCATTTGATTGTCCACAGATTTGCCAACCTCATTCTCCATCTCCCGAGCTGTGTGTGCCCTCGGCGGGGCTGCGCTGGACTGGCTGCCCCGGGCTCCCAGCGCTGCAGCGCCAGAACTTCAGGAGCCTCTTTGGGAAGTGTGGAAGAGTCTCATGACCAGGTTGGGCAGCTCCTTTCTCCCGAACGGGGAAGGAGGGGGAAAACTGCCGCCTTCCACCCCCCACTTCGGAAGTCTCTCGCTGTTTTGAGGAATTCCTTCCGCGGGGCTCCGTTACCAGCCGGGGGATCCACCCCGGGGTCCTTCCCGGTGCCTCCGAGCGGGGTCTCCGGCGCGGGCGGAGGGTCTGGAGGGTGGGAAGCTCCCGGGACACGCGTGGGCTCCCGGGTGTGCAGGAGGCTGTGCCCGGCAGCCCCTCGGAACCCCCCGAGCCATGCTCGGAGCGGGAGCTTAGCCCTGCGCTCTTCCCGGCTCCAGGGAAATGGGAAGGATCCCAAGCCCGGGCAGCCGCGGGAGGAGGGGTTGGAGCGGGGCTGGAGCTGCTGCGGCTTCTCCCGAGAGTCCCCCCGGCTTCCCGCAGATCCCTGCTAGCCCTCAGGGGCCACAGGGGAGGGGGCAACCCACCGAAACCCTCCGGCGGCGAGAGCCGCCCAGGCTTTGGGCTGTGATGTGTGGGAACGGCTTGGCTTTGGGAACAGGATTTAGGGGCTGTTGTGGGCAACGCACCCTGGTCCCTTATGCTGCTGCCGGGGAATCCGCCTGGTTACAACCGGGAAAGATAAAAGGGCAGGGAAGGCGTGTTGGTTTTGCTCTTCCCCAGAACCGGCTCTGCAGCGAGGCAGAAGCAGGTCGGTGTCTGGGGGTTTGGCACCGAGCTGCCCCAGTTCCCAGGGGATAAATGGTCAGGTTGTGCCTCTCCCGACCTGCGCTCCCAGCCCTGTGTGTGCTCGGGAGGAGGTGCTGAGGGCAGAGCAGGGATTCCTTTGTGGCAGCCCTGATTTGGGAATGTACACACAGTGTTCCAAGGGTAGGAGACAATGAACACCAGTTTCTTCTGCCAGGAGTCCAAGTCTCCTCTCCCAGTCAGGATTCTGCCTCAAAATCCCTGTGAGAATTTGCCCTTTTTTTTCGGAGTCATGTTATCTCAGGCTTCTGTCGAGTGTGAAGGCAGCTATTCTCATCCCACCAGCTGAGGAGGAGGATGAGAACACAGGGATCTGAAAGGCACGTGCAGATCCTGGGGGTCCATATGGGAGAAAAAGCTGCAGAAGGCAGGGTCGCTCCTGGGGACAAAACTATGCATTTAATGAAGATTTAAATCATCCCTCATTTCTGTTTGCAGAAAGTTCTACAGCTCAAAAAGACTCGTTTCCTGTGTTTGTGAGTCTTCCTTACTGCTGAGCAGTTTTGCTGGTACCTTGCAACAAGGGTGGCTCTGAGGAGGGTCCTCCTGGTTGAGGTCCATAGCACTGCAGGTATCTCAGGTTTTAATGCAGTTATTTTTGGAGATTTAAGGTAGTTATTCTTGTACCATGGCTATAAGATACTGCAGGGTATTATTTTGCCCATTTTGGAGTTGCAGAGTTAAGATGCCAAGAATCCAAGAGCCTTATTCCTACTGCTGGGCTGTAAGGAAGTAAAAAAAAAAAAAGAAACAACCCAAACAAAGCAACCCAAACAAATACAACCCTTCTGAGCGAGGAGAAGCAGCAGCAACTGTAAAGGACATATTTGCAGAATCATTAATTTTGATTGTCTTGAGCAACTTTGTGTGGTCACTGAAATAGGGCAATCCATCATCCTGGCAGTGCAGCAAGGTCCCTGTTCTGCTCCCTGCTTCCGAGGGGACAGACCTGCTTTGGTTTCTGACACTCTCAGCATCACCTTGGAGCCTCTCTGGTGAAGGAGACTTGATGCTGCAAAGTGGAATGGGGTTGTTTTGTCATTTACTTTTTCCTAAATCTCACATTTGGCTGAATTATTCCCCATTGAATCACTGCCTGCAGGAATTTCCATGTGCTGGTCTCTCACCTGCTGGTCGACTCCACAGTCCATTAGCCCCTCATTTTACCAAGCAGCTTAAAAAGCATCATCTCTCTTGCAATACAGAGAAGGTGAACACTGATCTGGGGAATTTTTCTTGCAGAAATTGAGGAATAGTGGGGGTTTTCAGTTCTTAGGAAACATCCTCTTTCCCCAAAGCAGTGTGGACTCAAAACATATGAAGCAATGAGGCGTTTGCTGTTTGGGTTGGGCTGCTTTGAAAGGATTTTTCCCTTTTTGCTTACTTTGTAACTTTGTGAAGGAGGTTCTCCTGTTACTGGAATTTGGATGTGTAAAGAGCTCTCAGTTACAGTTTGGAAAAAGCTTCAAATCAGAGATTTTTACACTTGGATCTTGGAGGGATGGGGCTGGAGCAGCCAGGCTGGATGACTGCCTGCTTTTAGGATGTGTTCACTGTGAACTACAGGACTCCACACATGAATTTTTAATGAAAAGGTGCTTCCTCAGGCACACAGAACTACCGTGGTTCCTGAAGAGAGACAGGGAGCTGCTCTGCAGTTTTATGCAATGCTTTTCTCCTTGGGAAAAATTCTCAAGTCTGGGAGGAATTTATGGTCAGAGTGTTCCAGCCCTGGACAGCAAATAGTACAGCTGGTGCCTCACTTGCCTGGGAGGCTGTGTTTGAATATTTTTCTTTTCATATTTCCCCTGGAGAATCTGGAATAACCATGGCTATACCTGGGGCACTGCACTGGGAGGAGATAGTAGCCAAGGGTAATACTACCTTGCTCAGGAATTTGGCTGTTGTGTCTTAGTTTCCACAATGTCAAGTTGACCTGCAACTCTTCCTTCAGAGGGAATTGATTCTGGAGATAAAAATTGTGAAGAGCTGTTCATTTTTCTCCCTCTGCATCTTGCTTTACCATCAGAGGTTGGGCCTCAAAAGCTCTGTGCTTATGAGGATATATTACCCAATATTCTTATAATATATATATATATATTTGTCTATGAGGATATATTACCTCATTCAGTTCCTTGCCATCCAGAGGTTTTGCACAGTCTTTAGTCTTAGTATTGATGTAATTGAATGTTCTGGGTCATCTGAACAGCTGATCCTGTGTCTGCTGCTCCCTGAATGCTCCCAGAAGTCCAGGGATGCCCAGCAGGGCAGTGATTTCCCAGCCACAGCTCTGGGCTTCTCCTGCAGGTATTGAACAGCTCCATCAAAGGTACCAACAGCTCAGTGTCCTAAAGCAGCCAAAGGACGTGGCAGCATCTTCAGTGTGATGTGTCTTAAGTGTTGTTACCATGGAAACAAGGTCTCCATCTCTGTGTTACACTCCTTACAGACTGATCCACAGGGAGATGTGAGGGGAAATCACACACCTCTGCATGTCAGGGGTTGTAGTTTGCCCTGAACCCTTTGCCTGTGCAGAAAAAGTCCCCTCTAAATAGGTTTTAGGCAGTCCTGTGTCAGGGGAAGTGCAAAACCAGCTCTGCAATCACTTCCATGTGAACTGCAGGTTCCAGATGACCAGTAAGTGTGAGAGGCAGAGGGACTGAGAGCAGCTCTGAAACTCCTCAGAGACTGCTCAAAACCTCTCTTACTGTTTACCTCTTTGGTTTCAGTACAATAAAGAACCACCAGTGTGGAAAGAGAGCTCTAATCTGTCGTGATCTGTGTTTCGATGTTCAGGTTACACAAAAGTGTATTTCTTCTGCTTATATGAATTAATCTAAATAGGAAAACTCACCTGAACCAGGATTTATATGGTTCAGATTCAAGGTCAGATTCACTCTCAGCATTGCTGGTTTTGTTCAGGAACCAGAGCAGTGTCACTATTCCACAGTCAGATTTAAATGAGTCTGGTATATGCATTTACCTTAAACATGGGAGAGAATCTGAAGCTCTGGGGTGACATTAAAACAAAAAGCCCGAGCAAACAGCCTGGCCCCAGTAAATCAGCACCACGCCTGGCTCCAGGACAATGGCTGGATGTTCCCTGTGATTTATTGGAGCAGGGCTGCCGAGCACAGAGGATAACTCATTGTGCTCAGACATAATGGGTCTGTCTTTGGGAGCCGGTGTAACCCTGTCATCTGTCAAGCAGCATAAAAGAAATAAAACCCAGCACTGAAATATCTTCTTGGAGTTGGTTGGCTCCCAGCTGTGCGTGGTGGAAATAAGTCCTGGTAGAGGCACAGCTGAAACAGGTTAGAATTGGGAAAACCTGGAAGTTTAGGTGATGTTTCAAAACTCTCCTCTCACCCTCCCTTTAAAGATGAGCATCTTTGGAACATCAGCAGAGCAAAAAAACCCAGCAGACATTAGTGCTGTTGTGTGTGCAAGGTAAGCAAGGATTTCTGCCCTGAATTTCTGAATTCATGCACTTTGCAGAGACAAGCAGGAAAAAGGGAAGGTGTCTTACCTTGGTCTGGTGGAGGATGTTCCTCAGCCGCAGAGCTCAGGTGGCTCGTGTAGTTTCTGGGGTGGAATTGAGGGGTTTGTGCTTTCTGGCAGCCAGAAATAAATGCTTGTTCATGTTCTCAGCATTGATGCCTCTACCAGTGATGGAATTGCAAAGTGCTGTGCCTAAATCTCCCTCTCTTTCCCTTGAACACTCACTCACTCACAGGTGGCTTCCAATGCCCAATGAATTAAATGCTGAGGCTTCTCAGGGAGATTAACCCTTTCCATATTGGAAATCACTTGATTTTACATCCAGACTGGAAAACTCGTTGCATAGCAGGCACAAGCCCTGCTGCCTGTAAGTGGACAAGGTGATTTCCTGGCTTATTAGCATTTATTGCTTATTAGCATTAGCAAAGTCTCTTCTGTTACAGCAATTAATTCTTAGGAAAGTCCTCCAAATTTTCCACCATGTGCTTTACTTTTTCCCCCAAGAGGTTTTTCAGGTATCTATGGCACAAAGACTTCTGGAATGCAGTGTCTCCTTTCCACACTTAATTTCATTGCAGTGCTGAGTATTGCAATTACATTCTTAATACATTAATAATACAATTATATGCACGTGACTTTAAGGGTGTATTTTTTGCCTTGTTTTGCTGTGCAGGAAGACAGATTACAAACAAAATGAAGATATTTTACTTTGTTTTCATTGACTGAGCACGTAGAAGTTTTAGCTGTTCCATTAAATGCACTGTTTAGGTGCTTTAAAATGACAGAAAGAATTCCTGTTTCCAAGGAAAGATATTGTTGTGTTTTAGTTTGTGGCCATCTCTCCTGGAAATTGGGATTAGGAGTGGGTGCTGGGTCTGGAGATGCAGAGAGGGA